TTTTTTTTTATTAAAGCAACTATAGTTCATTTTTTAACTTCCTATTGGTATGTATGATATATTAAATACATATAAAAATGTTTTAATAATTATATAACTAATATTTTATTTATTATTGAATGTAAAACGCGCAAGTAAAACAAATTTGTACTCGATGTTATAAATTGCATCACTATTTTTCTAGAACTTGGTAAACTAAAACCTGTATTTATTTAAAGCTAGAAACAAAATAATCTACTTAAAATTTATCCTTCTCTTAAATCAAATACCATACTATAATACATATTTGTATTATATATCTTTATCTATTTTCTAAAGTTATTTCTTTATTAGTTAATATGTCAATGAAAATTGTTTTAAAGTAATAATTTTTAATGTCTACCCATCTTAATTATTAAAAAAAAATTAACTTTTAGATTAATTATCTTAATATGGAATCATTCTTGAAAACTGGAAAACTTAACCAAGATTTACAGACTTCTAATTTATTAGAAAAACCCAAACATGGATCTAAAGTTCTTGATAGCACTACACCTTGGGTTGAGAAATATCGTCCCCGTACAGTGGATGAAGTATCTGAACAATCTGAAATTGTAGCTGTCTTAAAGCAATGTTTAGAAGAAGGAGCTGATATGCCTCATCTGTTATTTTACGGGCCACCTGGTACTGGTAAAACTAGTACCATTATAGCTGCTGCTCGTCAATTATTTGGAGATATGTATAAAGAACGTATGTTAGAATTGAATGCTTCTGATGATAGAGGAATTCAAGTAATTCGTGATAAAGTTAAAACTTTTGCCCAACTAACTGCATCTGACAAAAGACCAGATGGTAAACCATGTCCACCTTTTAAAATAATTGTATTAGATGAAGCAGATTCTATGACTGCACCAGCTCAGGCAGCTCTAAGGCGTACTATTGAAAGAGAAACAAAAACTACTAGATTTTGCTTGATTTGCAATTATGTTAGCTGCATAATAGATCCATTAACATCTCGTTGTTCAAAATTTAGATTTAAGCCATTGTCACATGACATTATGCTTACACGTCTTGAACACATTTGCAGGAAAGAAGGTGTACGTTGTGCTCCTCAGGTATTAGCAAGACTTGTTGATGCTTCTGGAGGAGATATGCGTAGAGCAATTACATCTCTTCAGAGTACTGCAAGGTTAAAAGGAGATGAAGGTATAGAGGAAGTTGATGTACTAGAAGTTGTTGGTACAATCCCAGATATATGGTTAGAACGAATGATAGAAATAGGTCGTACATATGATTACCAAAAAATGGATGATTTTGTTGAAGAATTAATTTTTGAAGCTTATTCAGCAGCTCAAGTTTTAGAGCAACTGCATGACAAAATAATATTTTCTCCAAATGTAACTGATCAACAAAAAGCATCTATTTGCAGAACAATAAGTATTTGTGCTTATAGATTACAAGAAGGATGTAGTGAGTATGTTACACTCCTGCATTTATTATGCTCTATAGCTCAAGCCTTGAAATAATAATTTTTATTTTAAAATTGCTATTATATTAATAATTATTTTTTTGATTATATGTTTAGTATTTTCAATATTTTACTTTTTTATATATAATTAAATAATTACTGAAATAAATACTTTTTTTTTGTGTTCAATTATCTTCTTGTATTTAAAAATTATGTTTTTAATTTTTTTAACTTTAAGAAGTCATTTTTTAGTTTTTCAACTTCTGAGTCCCAATTATTATATAAAATCTCTATCTGATTTTTTATACCAGATACAATTTTGAATTAAAATCGAAAAAAGATAATTTAAACTATAATAAAAAAACATTTTTATATATTTTTTTATTTGTTTTAAACGTAATTTTAAAAAAGATATATTATAACATTGTTTTAGTCGCATTATGTTTAACTTCAATTATTTTAAACAATTTTTTTGAAATGAAATGTTTAAAACTTTGAACTTTGATTAACTCAACAATTATTTTTTATTACTGATGTTTTTAAACTTATAATTTCTTAAAATTTACTAGTATACAAAATGTATATTTATCATCTCAACTAAAATATAAGAAAATATTTAATTTGATTGCTGGTATTAATAATGAATGAACAATAATTACCAATTCCTATATAAAAGCTTCTGGTATNAATTACCAATTCCTATATAAAAGCTTCTGGTATGTTACAGAAATGTTTACTTTATGTTCAAGATAAATTAAATGTTTTTTGTTTCTAACCTTTTGGTTACAAATTATATTATATTCTTGAAATAAATAAATTGAAAAAAAATCTTTTAACTACATTTCAAACATAAAAATATCATTTTGAAAATGAGATGGGCAATTACTCTCGCTGTCATTAAAATAAAGTAAGATGGATACAAGCCTTTATTTATGGAAAGACATTTGCAATGAGTAACTCAAAAGAGANTGGAAAGACATTTGCAATGAGTAACTTAAAAGAGACACTTCCGACAACATATTATAATTTGGGAGGAATCAAATTATTTAAGTATATAACTTTAAAGCAGCTTATGCCTTATTTTTGTTTTGCTTAATAAGTTATCTCTCGGTTTCATAATAAATGAGTTACTATAATCTATTTTTTATTTACAAAAATTCTAAGGAAATTTGTGGTTTTAATTAAGTAAACGTTGCTTTTCCATGACGACTGTTTTATACAGTGACATTATTAATATTTTATTATACTTAAAATATTAACGAAATCATAAAATTTAATGTGAAAAATAACTAACACAATTTTATCAATATGTTGAAAAACATTTATATGACATCTGTAGACGATATTATCAGTAAACTTTTGTTTAATTCGCGGTTCGTATGTACAAGCCGAAAAATTCGTGCGCTATGCACTGCTACAAAATTAACTTTCATGAAACAACCAATGTTATTGAGGTTACAGGCACCTATCAATGTGGTCGGTGACATACATGGTCAATTTTCTGATCTTCTTAGAGTATTTGAACTAGCAGGATTCCCTCCGGATACCAATTTTCTATTTTTAGGTGATTTTGTTGACCGAGGTCCACAATCGTTACAAGTAATTTTATGATTACCTCGATTATATTCAGATTTATTTGAATACATTAGATATTCCTTTTTAAAATACTCTAAGGCAGTTTATCCAATAACTTAAATAATTAAGGGGAAATATGTTTCCTATTTAAATCAGTCTACCCTAATGTATACAAATCATAGCTTTACTATTTTATACGACTAATTTTTATTACTTATATTTGTTATATCTATAGTCGTTTACTAGTAAAACAATTATTTTTGTACTTGATAAAGGTGATTACTTTACTGTTTGCACTGAAAACGCGTTACCCAGAAAACGTGTATTTGTTACGTGGTAACCACGAGAGTCTATCAGTAAATCACCGTTACGGTTTTTACGGCGAATGTAAATTACGATATGGGAATCACCGTGGTCACCGAATTTGGAAAGCTTTCAATAGAGCCTTTGACTGTTTGCCGATTGCCGCAGTAATCGATAACAATATATTTTGCATTCACGGTGGTCTAAGCCCTCGTCTCAGGCGTATTGATCAGATCGATAAGATAAAACGACCAACGCGAGTGCCTAAATCAGGAATTATGTGTGATTTTTTATGGGCTGACCCATGTCCAGATATCCAAGGCTGGCGTAAAAATGAACACAGAAACGTATCATATGAATTTGGACCTGATTGTGTCATAGATTTTCTAAACAAATTTGGCTTTCGACTGGTTGTTCGTGCACATCAGGTAAAATATAATATTATCATTTCCATTCATTGAAAAATTAATTAATTTTGTTATATTTAAATTAATTCAAATAATTCTAATTAATTTGAGATAAAAACAGTGAAGGACATAATGATAAACTTGAAAGAGTACAAAAATAATATTTCAGATATTTATGCCATAATTGTAATATCCAACTAACTCCTCACACTGGTTACGAGAATATCTTAAAACTATTAAATTTAAAAACATTAGAAATACGTAGAAATATATCATACAATACTTTTCTCACTAAATTATTATTATTAAATAATAGGGTTCGTCAACGACATATTTTTGGATATTAATATTGTACTAAATATCAACAATATTGTATCGCAATATGGAAAATAAATTTAATTTTAATTTGAAATATTTTCACCATTTCTTTTTTTTTCAAGAATACCGTTAAGTTACCATTGTTCTAAAAATCAGATTATGGTATACCAACCAAATCAGATAACGGTATTAATATAAACAATATGTAGATAATCGCTTTATCTCATAACGATAATCAAATATTTTCAAATTACTTTTTATTATGAAAAAATAAGTTTTCTTCTTGTTACAAGATTTTATCGTTATACAGAGTTTTCAGTAAGTAAGCAAACAGGTAAATAGTTACAAATAATGAGAACAATAGAAACCCGTTTTCTGACTTACTGAACACTCTGTATATTGTTTATATTAAATGAATGAAATTATACTTAATTGAATAATAATTTTATAGTTTCAGTGTTTTGGTTTTAAATAATAATAAAAAAAAAACCCAACACAAGGGGATCGCGGCACAGTGGTGACGTGCCATAGTTGGATCATGTATAATGATATCTGACTAGTGATTAAAATCACTATAAAAAAAAACACTTCGATGCAAATCTTTAGATAGTGTTTAATTTAAAAAAATTGATGGATTATTCCAAAAGCTACATGATCTGCTATTTCCTTATTAATATCCTGATTAAGATTAAGTATGTCGAATGAAAGATACTATTTCTCATGAAAAAATTGTATTGATCCATACATTTTTTAAAAAGTTATAGCATTTTAAAGTAAAAAATATAAAATCGAGAATTTTCACACGAAAATAGCATTTTCACCGTGAAGACAAAATAAATTCCGAAATTTTTTTTTCCATAATAAAGTACATTACATTAGCTTTAATTTAAGATATATATAAAAGTGTCAGACTTTCCGGAACACTTTCAAAAGTTAATTTTTTGTGAAAAAGTTGTCATTTTAAATCCCCCCGTGTGACAGGTAAAGTTTCAGATTTATAAAAAAATATACCAAATGATAAATTGTGATAAATTGATGTCTTTACCATTCGGTAAAGACATCAAGCATCTATAAAAAAAAATTATAATGATTTAATCATTTTTGAAAAAGTTGACAGTTTTAAGAAAAAAAAATTGAATAAATTTCGAAAATTAGCGATTTTTAAATTTGTAATTTTTTTGGAGGTTTTCCCCATTTATGAGGAACGAGGGAAATTTTTTCAATTTTTGAGGGTAATGTCTTCGATTAAATACGATTTGTGGTCTTTTGACGTATCATTGAAAGAAATCAGTTCAGTGAGAGCTGAGAAAAAGTGGTAACAGACAAAAAAAAACACATCATAGTAAAATTAATACCTTCTTTAATCGCATCGAAGCTAAAAGATTAAAAATGGTGTTTATATTTTTTATTGCTTTGTCATATCTGAAAACAAATTTTCTTATTTTCAAAAAAAAAATTTTAACTTTTACAATATAAAACATCATCACCGTCAGCACTATCATCTAATAGGGATTTTTTATTTTCGGAGTTTAACAATTTTATTTTATTTTTCAGATTGAGTTTTAACCAGTTATTACTATATATCTTCTAATTTTAAAATTTCTTTCTCTAATTTTCCTCACACATTACTTTATTTGTGTGTTGTTAAAAATAGGAATAACAACAATGTAATAATAAAAAATCTAATCTAAGAATGAAATTTTGTATCAATAAATATCATTTTTCGTCTTATCTCAATTCTATATTTAATAATATATTTTAATACAAAAAATATTAACAAGATTATCACGAACTGTTTTTTGTCTAATATCAAATAAAATATATTTTATAACAAAGTGACCAACATTCAAACAGTTTTTTTTTTATTAAAAATGTTTTCGATTATTGAAATATTTTAAAAATAATCGATATCGTGAGAAAAATGAAAAAAGTCGACAATATTGATATCGTTGACGAACTGTATTAAATAACGAGACTAATTCATTTTTTATTAAGTCAATTACACTTCCAAGTAAATAATCACTACACTCGCAACAATCATTTATTTTATAACACTCATTTTTCTAAAAAGTATATGCCTAATAATTTAAAGTCTTCTGTAAAAGATCAATTATTTTAATAATTATTGTTTCAACTATGCATTATTTTATTTACCTTTGATTATATAATACCTTGTTTTATTCAATTTTATAATATTATTGTTATTTACATTAATATATTGTAAATTAGACCAATGTCCAGATAATTATTAAATAAATAACATTATATAAAATCTGTCTAAAGAAATTAACCTTTCTAAATAAATATTTTTATACTTGAGTTTCTTGTAAATATTGAAAATTTCTTTTATGATGTTTTCATAATGTGACAAGAAAGTATTTATTAAATAATTTAATATTACAAATGTTTAGCTCATAGCGCACATTCAATCAACTTGAGGGTACTAAAATTATTGATTCCATGATGACCAGTGTGGGCAAAAAATCCCTACCTCCCTAGCCCTGTATCACGTAGTAAATTTAAGTTTCAAAAAAAAAAAATTAATAACATTATTAAAAATATGTATGGTAAATATATCTATAGTATCAAGATTTAATTTAAATTAAATAATACAAATACAAAATGGTATAAACTCATTCTCATCATCACAAAATAATATTTTTTATAATTTATGTAACTTAAAATAACTGTGGGTGCTAAACACCTTCTGGTACTTCCGTTTACAATTATGTGCACCAATACTGTATCCCACAAAATTCTAATCTAAATTATCTAAATTTCCCAACAAAATAAATCTAAAATCTCGAAATTATATTATCTCTTGCATCAAAACAAATAATCTTGCATGATTATTTTAAATATAATCTAATTATTAAAAAATTACAAAAATGTGTCTGTTTTATGTAAAATTGTACTTTGTGTTTAGTGCGTAAGTCGTGGTTACCAATATTTTGCAGGCCGTCGACTCGTGACCATTTTTAGCGCACCGAATTACAAAAAGAGGGGGTACTCCGGAGCTGTGATGTTCGTTAATAAAAACATAAAATGCACACTACGTATTTTACCAACAACGGTCCAATTATCTCCGACAATTAGAATATTGGGCAAAAGAACCTTTGATGAACAAGAGAATAATAACCGACCGATAAAATTGCGGAGGTGCAATGCAACAGTAACACTGTTAACGAATCCTCAATACATACCGGTAGATGCCTTATTGAACACATAAAAATAAATGATTTTAGGTCTACTTATTTTGTTATTTATAAAAAGTTCTGCGTAATTAAGTATACTTTCGAAAGAAATTTTCAAAATAATACTTCTGAAAATTATGCAAAATAAACATTTCTGTGACTGTAAAATTGTATACGTTGGTGTCCGATACTTAACAAGATTAAAATTTCGTACCAGGAATTCATGAGGTAACGCGCAACGAGTATCTAAGACCGGTATTTTGTTACCAATACCAAAATTTCGTACCAGGAATGTATAAGGAATTATGTATATGATTACAAGTTCTGGAGTTTTGAGATGTCTAGCGTCTCGTTTTCAAATGGCCGCCAATATTATTCATTACGATAATGATGCTAAGAATCAATTATTCTCATGTGTTCCTGGTACTATGATTTCTACTTTTAATTGAAATTATATTCGGTGTCGACTTTAGGCATGATCGACGCGCAATATGATTAGGCTCTATAACACCACAGGCCTACGAACTTACTTTGAGAACTTTTTTTTTGGCTCAACACCTTTAAAACAGTTCCTATTTTAGCTTACAATTTTTTTCAAATAACACATAAGGCTGAATAAAGATACAGAGGCTTATAAAAAAAATAAGGAAAAATTACAAACTATTCAATACTTTATTACATATTATTCGATAGTTACAAAATAGATAGAACACAAAGTAAAAACCTTATAAAAATTATTTTGCTAACAAAAGTCTCATTTAAAAAGGTTGATTAACCAAGAAATAAAATATTTAAAAAGCCAACTTTTTCATGAGCAAATATACACATTGGTCCACTTCAAAACCGTGCAAGTTGTTGGGGTCGCCCAGGAGTCGCATTAGAAGTCCTCCGAACGACACGTATGCAGCACTGAAAAAAAAAAAAAAAAAAACCCAATTATCAGGAGTCGCATTAGAAGTCCTCCGAACGACACGTATGCAGCACTGAAAAAAAAAAAAAAAATAACCCAATTAGTGTTACATAAATGATATTCAACTATAACATAGTATTATGTCATTAAAGAGTTTGCATAATAATTCTATTTTAATAATTTGTTATAAACTTTTTGTAGTTGATAGAATACTAATTCTATTAATCGACTAGACGATAAAAAAACAATGATTTTTTCCTTTTATAAACTGTATTTATGTCGATTTAACAACCATACACGAGCCACTTAATAACACTTAATTAACATTAAATGTCCTCCGTGTAAAATGGTAAATCTATTTAAAAAATGGCCTTTACTGGCAATTGCACAATTAAATATGTCGTTATAAACTTGCATAAGATTTTAAATGTTTTCTAAGCTATCAAATACACGTTACTCTTTAAGTTCGACATAAAAACCAAAAATTCTTAATTTTGTTACGTTCAGCGAATTTACAAATATTTTTTTAAATTTTTAGAAATGTTATGACATGGTTATGAACCGAAAATAAATCTACTATTTCTTGATCATGGGGTACATGCACAATAGTTATCTGTCGATAATATAAGCCGAAGCAAAGTTATTTGCTCCATAACGTAGTACTATTTCTAAGGCTATTTGCTTTACTTTATGGTAATTATGTATTTTTATCACGACTGTCGTGTCGATAGATGTGTTGTTGACAGGTGTATAAAATATTTACAAAATTTACGCATAAATTCATAAAATTTTCAATTAATAATATAAGAATCAAGACTCGGAACTTCATACAATTATTTATCTGCCAGGAAAGTGCATATTAATAATCTTGTTCGATACAAATTCGTTTCGGAATGTCTATATTTCTAGTATAACATTTTATTTAGTCCATTTTCCATTTAAAAGAAATATACAAATAATTATACATATATATATTTGTACTAAGCCCTATCATAATTGATACATTATTTTCGTAATATAAAAACATTTTATTGATTTATTTAAAGTAAATGTAGTTTTCCCCAAAATTTTATTACACTTGCGTTAGTTATTTGCATATTTAATAAATTTTCAGTTAATTTTCAACCGATTTTGGTTGTCTCCTCTAAGGGATATTTTAATGTTTACCAGCACTTCTGTTCAGTTCAGAGCCTTAATAAAAACATAACTTGAATGTCTAAGATAACCTGATAAAAATTAACACCCTTATAAATTATTTAGAACAGATAAATTCTTTATACGACGATTCGTGTCAATCGTACACGTTATCAAATTATTATCATTTTTTTTAATAACTAATTCATTATAACGAGCCATCACATGTGACAAATGTTCTAAAGCTTCTATGTATTAATAATTGTCTGTTTTCAATAACATAATCTTAACGGAAATGTCAAGTTACTGATTAACCACCCAATTAATAACAAAACATTAAAAATCATTAGATTGGTTACAATGTTCCGACACATAAGTAAATAATATTTTGTATAAAACTAACATGCAATTTCAATTATTTTAAACAATTTAACACAAAAAATATATATATTAATTAAAAATAAAATACAATGTTTTCAATATTATACTGGCTAGAACCACGACGCAGCTCATCGTTTAACAACCTCGAGCTTACAGTAAACCGCCAACTGTCGCCTGGAACTTACTAATTCAATAACTAAACATAAATATATGATAAACCATAGTAGCGGTTAACTAACAACTAAATATTATTTTAATTTAACAATGACGAATAAAGAATAATGTAAACACTTTTATTTTAATTCGAACATTTAGTCATAGTAGTGCAGAACATGGTCAAACGCGCAGTGGAATGTGTTTAGTGGTCGTGAGTAGTAAATTAATTATTGTACACAACCAGCTAATCACACTGCCACGGCGAATCTCCAGTTATTTGTTTTCAAACTGTACACAAAGTCTTATGCAATTAAACGGCCTTAAATGTTATATCGATTATAATGATTAAAATAACACTAAGAAACTTGGATTCACACAGGTTGTAATTGTGGTATATATAATATCTGACACTTGAACGATAAAAAAAACGCATGTTTTCCGCGGAGGTAGCACAGTCGGTTTTGGCAACCCGCACCCGAGTTGCTTAACGGAATGGTACACATATTTTTACTAAGGTCGATAACCACCTGGTTAACTACATAAAAATCACCTCCTAAAACATATACACATCCTATGTAATACCCATTATTAATCACAATGGATTTTAAACCAGAGTCGCATATAAGAATTGTAACGCTTGGGGTACTCAATTATACCACTCATTTTTATATTGCTCGTCAAAAAATCTTGTCTCAGCATCGCTATTTATTTTTATTTAATTGAGCAAAAAAAAAAAAGTCTTCAACTTCACAATTTATTTTTCTGAATAGTTGGCTAACGTTTTCTCGAGTACTGCCCAGGGCGGCACTCGCACCCAGTGCCGTCCTTAAATGCAGCCCTAGTGCTTATACATTTTTTTTATACTTAATAAAAAAAATGATATTTTAGTAGAGGGGTCGACCCTAGTCTAAAGCAAATTTAGTGTGGCCTGCTTCTCTAGGCTACTTAACTGCATGACAACCCTAAACTATAATAACATTTGTAAGAAAAAAATATTATTATTAACATTTTTTAAGTTTAATTAATTATTAACCGACAGTTTAAAGTTTTGGATTTAATTACCGAAGTCAAAAATCATTTATTTTGACAGACCATACATTTTTTTTTTAATTTTCAATAAAAACTTGTACGTTACTATGCATCGGCCGATCGACATTGTACGATAATATGCTCACGTTGATAAAAATAATATACGTTTTTCAATTGAAACATGAACTATTAAAGATAACATTTCTGTAAAATAAATAAACAATATGAAATTATTGAAATCACTTAACTTTAACAGATGAATAAATAATTTATGGGCTATTGAAACGATTTATTGCTGCTTCTGGTCTTATGAGCACCAAGTTATTGGTGAATTTTTACTTTAAATCTAAATCTATAAACTATTTGTTAATAGTGGATTAAATAAATACATAATTATTTTTCTTTCATAACATCAGAATAAAAATAGGGTTCACATTTAAGAAGTTGAGAGTTTTTATTTCAAAAAGTAATTCCTCCATTTACGGCAAACGAGGGAAATATTTTAAAAGAAAAATATTTTTTCATATATTAAATTGTAATATCTTCAACTGGATACGATTTTTACAATTTACCGTTAAGCAATATCGGTCCAGTGAGAGCTGAGAATAAGTAACTATAAATACAAAAAATAAAAATCACATCATAGTAAAATTAATACCATCTCAGAGTCGTATCGAAGTTCAAATATTTGCTTTAAGTTATAACTCATTAAAGTTCTCAATTATGTCATTTTATCATGTCATAATATGACATGATTTACTAATTGGAAAAAATTTTAAGTGAATAATGTTATTTAAAACTTGAAACCTTAGTAGTATATTGTATTAATATTATGCACATAGTTCTTCAATCAATTGGTAAGTGGCGATTAAAATCGTTTAATTACTTAATTTTACGTTGGAAAATGTATTTTATCGATTGAAACCTTCACGAAGAAATAGGTATAGGTCAAGCATAATATAATTATTCAAAAGGTCAAATGTTTAAAAGTGTTTTATTTCCAGATGAAAGTTATGTAATAAAAACTTCTAGCAGAGATTCTACTATTCTTTTGAGATTTTTTAAAATACAATACTTATTAACTATAGTTTTTCAGTTGAAATTTTATCTTTTAGAAATCCGGAAGACTTCTATTGATTATCTAAGTTATTCTGATAAAACGCATATTAGGTAGAATTTATTTGACTGCTTCGACTCTAATTTTCATTCTATTTTAGATACCGTCATTAATTGACAACACCAATTAAATGACGGTGGGCAATTAATAGACTAACACGTCAAAATATCCATAGGAGGAAAAGAACAACACTCGACCTAGTTTACAAATATAACCTTAAACATTTACAGCACGAGTAATTAAATTTACCATATGTTATGTTTTNTTAAACATTTACAGCACGAGTAATTAAATTTACCATATGTTATGTTTTCTAAGATTTATAAATAAATATATGAAACTTACATCGCATCACCTTTCTGTTTTGAATCAATTGATAATAAATACATTTTTTATTCGTTAATAGCACACTGTAGGCGTAACGTAACGTATTATTTTGTCTATTTAAACTTGCAGCAACAGAAGACGTTCGAAGAGCACGTCTTTATTAATTTATAGGAATAAACATCGCGTGTCGTCACGTGTATTCGTGCAGATAGTCATAAATCATAACCGATAATTTTAATACTCAATCGTTCTTCCCTCTTTTAACCAGTCACTTACTGCAAAGGTATGATATCGTTTAGCCCAGGAAAATATTATAATAACAATATGGATTAAACATACAAGTATAACAGACATGTAAATCCATGATAACAATAAACCCCTTGATGTTCGTGTTCCAAAAAGTTAGTGTTATTGCTCAAAGACACGGTGGACGTTCAGAGAACATGGAAACTACGAGTTTTAATTGCTCTCCATTAGAGCATCTACTTTTTCAAGTCGCTACAAGTAACAATTTCACATATAAAGAGGCTCACACATAATCGCGCGCTTTTTTAAAAACGCGGCGATTAATCGCTTTATATAAAACACCCGCATTTAGATTGAACCATACACACTATGACAAAAAACATGCGTTCGAACGCGACCGATCGCTAAAATTAAACAATACAAATGGCATGTTATCATTCACACGGGGCGATTTCCGGGCACGTGAGGATTCCTTCAATCTATTTGCACGTATTGTTTTGGATTCTTTTCCTTTTGTGTCTTCTATCATGTCTTTTGCACACAGCAAATTTTATTAATTCCAAATATTTGGAAGAGTCAATTTGGAAAACAGGTAAGTACTAAATAAAG